ATAATTTTCTAATTTAATCAACACTACAGCCCTATAAAGTGTTAATATGAGTGTGGCCATTGTATAGATTAGAAAACCAAGGCAGCACAGCAAAGCACATTATCCAAGGCCAAAACTGTTAGGATTATAAACTGGGTCTGCTACTCCAAAGTTTACACTAGGATTCAGGACTGCCATCGTTAAAGAGAGTTATCATACTGAATTTAAGGAGATGTTTACTTACAGAGTACAGTTTTTCAAGCATAGGACCTTGCTAAACTCACCTTTGTGTCTTTAAAATCACTCCATACATAATACGTTGCTAGGGAATATTGCAAAAACAATAAAGGGATACATAGACCACAAATAGTTATTAGATGGTCTTTGCCTTCTAGTATGGGATTAGGAAGCTATTTTTTTAATTCAATCTATTTTTATTCATAAAGTGATTGCCTTATAAAATCACATGTGTATATGAGCATGTACATACATGTATATATACACATAAATATTAGCAAAATGACTTTTAGCCCTGAGTGTTAGCGTATTTTCAAAGGCAATCTCTTAAACTTTCAAGCCATATTTAACTACATATTTCAGCAGAACAGCAGTAAAAATTTCACCAAAAGATCTAAAATAGTGACTAAGTTAGTGTAACAGGTAGTCTCATAGTAGAGAAATGATTCTTTTGAAACAACCAATGATGCCAGGTCTAGTACTTAAAAGCTTTGAATCTCTGAGTATTGAGATGGTATATCAGCAGGTAGAACACATTCATTAATTTGTAAAAGTCAGGACATGTTAATTAGCATATTCCTTATTTCAAGTACGATTTTTACTGAAAATTGGCACTTACATAAGCAAAAGTCTAAAAAATGGAGAGCATTCTATTTAAAGAAATGAAGGTTAGTAGTCGGGTGTTATTTAGATATCATAAGGCAGATGGTGATGTAAGAGGTGGAATTTATAAATATCAGACACAGCAAACAATAGTTCTATAATAATAACTTAAAGAAAGAAATGGAATTGTTTAGTTTTCATTAATGCGTTATTTCCTACTGAATGTAGTGTTGATTTTTAAACTCTCACTACCCCGGTGGCAGTGCTAAGAACGTGCTGAGTGTCCTTGACAGGGCCACTTAATTCCCTTGTGATCTGCTTCTCCCTCTTCTGAACTGGACTGCCTGACAAGTCTACCAGCCAGGGTTCACCAGAACAAAATATTAAGTTCCTTCATTTTGTCAGAGCCCTAAGGTAAGAACATTTACTAAATTGAAGCCCATAACTTAGAGCTACTAATTTTGGTTGTACAGATTTATTATCATTTATTACAATATAGATATGCTCCCTTAGCTGTGCTGGGCCCTCACCTTAATGCCATGCAAATCCAGCAGGACAGATGTGACATTTCTCTATCAACACCTAAAAAGTGGTTTGTTTATTTTTTTACCACATATATTCACATCTGCACAACACATATACTCATTATATTTACAATTATATAATAAATTGCATAAATTATATTTAAAGTAAAATTTTGTTATTATATAAATGTTTAATAAGTAACTCAGATGTCTTTAAATATCACATATTGTAACATATATTCCATAACATGTGAATATTAAATAAAATATATGAAAGTTATATACTATTTTGTCATAAACATGTCAAATATAAATACGTATCTATTCTTTTTTTTGAGGGTTTTTATTTTATTTTTATTTTTTAAATTTTTTTATTAATTACACTTTATTCACTTTGTATCACAGCTGTAGGCCCCTCCCCCACCCCTTCCCAATCCCATGCTCCCTCTTGCTTCTTCTCCTACACCCCTTCCCCAGTCCACTGATAGGGGAGGTCCTCCTCCCCTCCCATCTGACCCTAGTCTATAAGGTCTCATCAGGAGTGGCTGCATTGTCTTCTTCTGTGGACTGGAAAGGCTGATCCCCCCCTCAGATGGAGGTGATCAAAGAGCCAGCCCATAAGTTCATGTCAGAGATGGGCCCTGTTCCTATTTTGGAGAACCTGCTTGGACACTGAACTGCCATGGGCTACATCTGTGCAGGGGTTCTAAGTTATCTCAATGCATGATCCTTGGTTGGAGTATCAGTCTCAGAAAAGACCTCTGGGCCCAGATTTTTCAGTTCTGTTGCTCTTCTTGTGGAGCTCCTATTCCCTCCAGGTCTTTCTATCTCCCCCTTCTTTCATAAGATTCCCTGAACTCTGCCCAAAGTTTGGCTATGAGTCTCAGCATGTGTTTTGATACCCTGCTAGGTAGAGTCCGTCAGAGGCCCTCTGTGATAAGCTCCTGTCCTGTTCCCTGTTTTCTCCCTCTTCTGATTTCCATTTATTGATTTCAATTCCTAGAATCCTTATTGGGCCAAGTCCAGTATTATATACTAAAATTGTGCTGAAGTGACATTCACTGGAAATATGAGAAATTTTTATGTTGTGGTTATGTGCCAGCTCTGGGTGCTGGTTTTGCCTTCGCTTATTCCCTCACTGAGCAGAAGGTTCACAAAAGAAAGAAGACTCAACTTCACTATCTATTTACCAATTGTCCACTGTTAATATTTCTCCCAAATTCTCTCCATCAATGAAAACACAAACATAGCAAATGCTCAAGGGGACGCTGCAGTAACTGTCACTTAGACACATAAGCTGAGTTTACAGACTTTTGAAAAGTTAAAGCAGATGTGCAGACATTATTGCCAACTGTATAAACAGCAAAGCTACAAAAACTGTAGTTAGAGATATAGTTGATATAAAACTAAACAAAAATGTCAAGGGCTACAGCACTGTCCTTTTTACATCAATTATTCACCCAGGGAAGGTGTTATTTTCCAGATGCCTTGGAAATGAGCAGTTAGTCTGGTTCTCAGAGTAGCTATTTCCTAACAGAAAAGATGCATGGCTTAAATGGATGAAATGAAAGGGGACAGTGTATGCTATTAGCCAAGTCTGACTTTTTGGGGTTTGTTGTTGTTGTTGTTGATTTTTTTTTGTCAACTCTGTAATGAAAAGATTCCAGAACCCCTAGCATTTGTTACTCCATCTTTTCCTCATACAAAGCAACAAGCTTGAAACTTTAGACCATCCAGGACATTTAGTTGTGTGAACTAAAAAATTTTGTAAGACCCAATTAAAAATTATAATACTTGAGTTCTCACTGAAAAGAACAATTAATAAATTTAATTTTTTTTAATCTTCAAGTGGACAATGGCATCTATACAGATGAGAAAGTGGTAAAATCCTTCATCTGAAGCACAGTGGCAGTCTAATACATGAGAGCCTTTTTGCAAAATTGAAGTATCTGAAGCAATGTGGGCTTTTCTTTTAAAATAGCCTCCTGTGTTTTCCATATTGTTTTACTTATACTGATCTAGAAAGACCACACTGTGTCCTGTGAGACTTGCTTTCAAATTATTGTCATAACAGCTAGGAAGGGTAGGTGGCAAGACACTTTTCTAGTACAACTGTCATGACCTCTACAATGCATAAGGAGCTTATGAAACACTAATGCCTGCCTGATAACTCCCCTCCAGAAACGTCTTAATGAGTCTGGAGAAATGGCTTGGCAGTCAAGATCTCTTGGTGCTCAATCATAAGAACCAAACTTTGGATCCCAGCACACACATGGTGCAGCTCACAGACATCCATAACTACAGCTCCAGGCACCTTCTTCTGGCCTCTGTGGACATCTGCACACACATGTCATCTATACTCATACAGACACGTGCATGTGGACACGCTCACACAAATAGACTCTTTAAAAATAAATTCAGAAAAGCGTAACACAGAAAACTAAGTGATGTTTAAAGAGTTGTTTTTATGTCACAGAGATGGGGGTAAATGAGGCCATGGGCAAAGAAAAAGCCCTGGAAAAAGGGCCCAGATTATTTATTGTGGAAAATTCCTCACAGTTTTCTTAATAGTCTCAGAGTACGGGCTTTTCTTGAGGATCCATCAGATCTCAGATTAATCACATCAATATTCAAAGAAAAATCAAAATACTTCCCAGAGTCAAATAAAAATTAGACAATGGATGGCATTAGTATAACCAGGGAGCTGATTAATTGCTCTTTATTGTAAGTGACTGGTGCCCTGTGCTAGTCTTAGGTAGAGAATCATTGTTCATGTGACTGGCAATAGACTGGGCTGTTGCTTTCAGTTGATCCTCGCACTTAGCCAGTGCTGCCATCGCACAGGACCCTGAGACCGCCCTCTCCAGCCCAAGTGCCTTTGCAACCATCTCCTAGATACATGTGTCTGACAGGTCTACCAGCCTGAATGTGCTAAACTTAATATTGCAATCTTCCTGAAAAACATGGACTGAGGTTGCCCATATGACCTCATTCTCAACTTACCTTCCCTAGTAGTAGCCCTTCAAGCTCCAAATACAACATTTCTGAGGCATTTGGACTTCTAAAGTCCTTTGGTACTTTGATCCTTTCTCTACTTCTATTCCCACTTGTGGTAGGTAGAATCTTGGCCATTTTCTATCAGGACTTCTATGCTAAGTTCTTCTTTTCCTGGGTTATTTGGTTCTTGAAGAGTGCATTTATCTATCTATCTATCTATCTATCTATCTATCTATCTATCTATCATCTATCTATTTTTGAAATTTATTCACTTTGTATCTCGGTTGTAGTCCCCTCCTGCATCTTGTCCCAGTCCCTCCCTTTTTCTTCCTTATCTCTTTCCTCTAGTCCAATGATAGGGAAAGTCAGTCTCCATGTGGGTTCCCTAGTAAGAGGAGAAGACAGTCTCTGACATGAACTCGGTTGCCTGCTCTTGATCACTACTCTAGCCAGCCCACAGAAGCGTTCCGTTTTTACAATCATAAAATCATTGCTTAAAATTCCCAAGACTCTTTAGCTCTCTAAGAACAAAGCGACCAGAACCAATGAGGCCTTTTGTTTGGAGCCCATCTATGTTTAAATGAAAATGCTGGGGAAAAATTAAATAAAGCAGAAAAACAGGAGTCAAAGAAAAAAGACTTTCATGTCTCAAATGCTCACCTATTGTCTCTCGGAAATATACTTTCCAACCTCTTGCTGTTTGAGAAGAATCTGTCTTGAAGAGCAGGGTCAGGCTGTTATTGGTGCTCTTAATAGTTTGTGGAACGGTGGAACCACACCTCTTTCCAAATGACTTATTTCCAATGCTGATACCATCAAAAACCTCCAGGTAGTCACGACTGCAGAGGGCGGAGGGAACCACCTCAAAATCATTGAACCTGTGAAGTACAACTTGTCATTACTTAGGTCCTCTTTTGTATGCCCATTAAACTGTACTTCTAGTTCTTATAACATACACACACATACAAAAACGAACAAACAAACAAACATAAAGCAAAAAACTGACAACACAGTATTTAAGCTTCACTTGGAAAGAAATCTTGGAAATAAGACATTACTGACAGATTCCCATGTGAAGCCAGTAATTGCTGGGTAACTAATAACTGTGCTAGAAGATGGGAATATAAAGATGAATAAGGTACAGTTCCACATTTCAATGCAATGTAGGCCTAGGTTCAACTGTCGTCAATTTTTGGATAATTGGTTTGATTCTCTCACAAGTTCAGACATACATAATATACTTTGGTCATCTCTCCCCATTATTCTCTTTTACCCGTCTCTCCCCTGCTGAACCCCTCTCTGTTTCCAGCAAGACACCCCACTACTTTCATGTCTTTTATGTTGTGCCCTACCATATTCGGAGCACAGATGGAGGGTAATTTTTGAACCAGGGCAACTACGACTTCAAGGAACACAACTCCTTCCAGCGTTTCTTACCATTACCAGCCTATAGTTTCTGAGTTTTGATAGACTGGCCTGTGTTATCACCCTGAAAACATGCTAGGTTTTTCAGTCTCACACCTAAAAATACTCTTCCTCTTTTTTTTTCCCTTGTGTTGTATGAAAAGTGTCACTGCTGATTTATTTTTTATTTGTGGGAAGAAGGCTAAGACGAGTGGAAGAAATTCTGGTTTTATAGGGTTTAACTGTGATTCTTCCAGGCTCTTGTTTCACCAAGCGCAACGGTATGATACAGCTGAACCACTGTGTCTGGTATATAGCATGTCCTCAGGACAATTAAGCTCTCATTTTATAAAGAAAGAAATGGAGTCATTTTGGCTCTTACAAAACATGAAGCTGTAGTAACATGGAGTGAAGGAGTTCTGTTGTGTCATCAGACTGATTTAACAAGAAACTACTGAGGAGACCTGATAGACTAGGATCAGAAGGAAGGGGAGGAGGACCTCCCCCATCAGTGGACTTGGGGAGCGACATGGGTAGAGAAGGGGGAGGGAGGGTAGGATGGGGAGGGGAGGTGGGAGGGAGCTACGAGGGGGATTCAAAGTGAATAAACTGTAATTAATAAAAATAAAAAATAAAAAAAGAGAGAACCCAGAGGAGACATGAGGACTTCCCCATCATCAATGGACTAGGGAAAATTGATTGGGAAGGGACAGAAAGAGAGGGTGGGACCAGGAGGAGATGAGAGAGGGGCCTACAATTTGAATATAAAGTGAATAAATTGTAAATAATAATAATGACAATAATAATAATAATAATAATAGTAAACAATGTTTTCCATAAAAAAAAAAGAAAAAAGAAGCTCCCGTTGATTCCTGGGTTGATCACTGGAGGCTCCTGCCACAGCCCCTGCCTTCCCAGCGTTGAGCAGGAGTAACCTCATATGCACACACTGAAGTCTGGTGTGGCCATAGAACCCTCCCCCACCACAGAAATGTCAGCCGAGAACAGGCGCTCTTTGTTTCCATAAGCTGCCTCTCTGCTACAGTGATGCTCACAGAAGCAGATGAAGGGCTGAGCAAGCACTAGCCCCGGCTACTGACAGAACACAGCTTAGCTTCTTGTGAGTTCTACTGAAGGGAAGGGGTGTGTTAAGCTAGTGTGCCTCAGGCGGCTTGCTACCAAGTACAACCTTCCTGACAAATTCGTCTTGACCTTTCCTTGGACGGCCTTAGTTAATATTTTACTCCAGGCCTGTGCTCTATTGTCTACATCTTTTTCTGCTCCTTAACCTCTTCTTCCTTTCTCTTCCTCCTTCTCCTCCTTTCTCCTCCTTCTTCTCCTTCTCTCTCTTTTTTTTTTCTTTCTCCTTCTGCTCCTTCATTGTTGAGTCAGGTCTGGGAACTTGTGGTAAAGAGCAGGCTAGCCTTGAACTCACAGAGGTCAGCTTGCCTCTGCTGCCCAAGTGCCTTAAGTAACCGCTTCTAAATGCCCACCCCCGCCCCAAAGACTTCCTACATCTTTTACCTTAGAATCACATGGTAGGCTTAATTCTGCTCTCTCAATGATTTTTGTTAACAGGCTTAATGAACTGTATGACAATATGAAATAATTCTGAAATATCAAATATCTAAACACTTCCTTATTATGAGCATTAAAAATAATCCTCAAGTCTTTCCCTCAAAGATTTTGGCTAGTTAAATGAATGTTTTCAAACTGATAATGAAGATCCAGGCCAAAAAAAAAAAAAAAAAAATTCCTGATTTCTTGCATCAAATCTAATGTTTATTGTTCTCTTTAAAGAATCTTATGGGAGAACAATAGAAAGACCATTTCCAATGACATTTTTATTTTTAACTATTATTTTTGACACATTTGGTCTTATTTTGTATAGACTATATATATATATTTTTTTTTGTATAGACTATATATATATATGTATACTATATATATACACATATATGTATACACACACACATATATATATATATATATATATTTACAAAAGAAGAATCTAAAAAGAATGATAAAATCCGAGTTTTCAGGGCACTCATTTTTCAGGGGCGCCCAAATCTGTTTTGACTTTCCCAAGAAAGCACAGAAAATGCTTTTAAAAATCTGACTTTCCCACATGTATCCAGCACATTTTCACAGCCTGGGTAGAAGGGTTTGTTTTATTAGTATGTACAGCTTCACAATACCTATAATAATATCTGTTTCATAGAAATAGAGGCTACAAGGATACACAATAATTTCCCAAAACTCAGAACAAACTGTGCCCATAGATCTCCTGGGTCAAGCTGGAAATGGAAACATGTATGTACACTTTATATACATGCCATATCTCTGTCAACTATGTTCTAGCCGTTCTTCCTCCAAATTCCTATGCTGACATCTTAGCTCCAGGTTGACTGTGTTATGAGAGTGCGGCCTCTGTGGATGGAATTGGTGTTCTTGTGAAGGAGTTCTGAGAATGCGCTCCCACTCCCTACGACTGCAGGACACATCTGGCACAGCAGGGCAGGATCTCCTTCTCTGAAGCAGAAGGTCATGGGCACCTGATGCTGAAACTACCTGTCTTGAACCTTACAGATCCAAAGCTGTGAGAATTTTTGTTGTGTATAAGCTGACTGGCTCGCGGCACTTTGTTACAGCGGCCTACACCCTATGCGTGTAAGAAACTACAGAAGGACAAGCTGAGCTTTCACCTCTGTCCCTGACTGCAGTCCCTTCTCTGGCTTCTTCCTCCTAGTGGTCTGACAGCTTTTCTTCTTTTAATACTAAAACTTGCAGGATTTTTTGTTTAATTCCCAAGGCACGTTTCCTCACAAATAGTCTCAGGTGGTATTGACTTGCAGTTTCCTTCAAGGTCTAACCTGTAAACCACTTTCTTCTTGACAAGCTAAATCAAGTTGATGAGTCCTGCCTTACAGTTCATGGACCCAGTGGACACACATATGCTGAAAGTAAGGCTCAGCGTTCATAATCATCAGGACAGAAACTATCAGTGGCGGATTGGTGACAGATGAATAGGTGCTGTTTCAGCCTGTCAAGCTTCTATGTAGAAAATTCTCTATTGCTATCAACTACCCTCAGATTTACTATTACATGCTGAAAATTTCAGGTATCAGTGAAATTGAAGAGATGGAAATAAACCATCTAGGAGAAAGAAGCCTGGCACTTAATCTCTTTGGACAATGGGTTCTGCATTCTCTACAGTCTTGCTTGGATAACTAGAATTAGATACTTTACAAGTGGCATAAGATATCCCATAAAGCAATAATTTAGAGTAATTAACAAGGGATGAGAAGTGGTAAAATTATTCAGGACATAGCTTTGGGGGACACTGGACATGGGTCCAGATTTTCACTTTTCACTTAAATATGTGTTACCTTGGGGAAGCTGTGAGGCCTTTTGAAACACATATGCAAGTACACATATATCTTTCTCATGATGATTTTAACAGTACAATAAAACATCCAAGGAAGGTATTGAGCAAAGTTTGTCATAAATAATAAATGTTCAACAATGGCAACTATTTTTCCTAGCCTTTCATATTGTCTTTGATTTTAAGAAGGGCTTGTAACTTGGCAGCTATTATATGAAGCTCTTGTGAAACCACTGAGAAATTACAAGTGATTACAAGAAATTAACTGGTGATTCTTCTGTTTTAACCTCAATCCCCACTGGATTGGGTGGAGGATCAGGGGGCCATCATGAAGGCTTTACTGCTGTATGGGACCCCTCTGCCTCTTTCTAAATTCCAGAAAGGCCACCATGAGAACTCATGGGCTCCATCAGTAAGGTAGCTTTCCTGTGAACAGAACTGACAGGGTTTTTTTAAATAAACAAATTTGTCTCACATACCTAAGCAGAATTACTCTGTCCCTTCTAACGTTTATGCTGTAGACACAGTAGACATTGTTGGGATAATTGCCGAAGAGGAAGGAAGGACTTCTGATGATCCCAGAGGATGCGTTGTAGATTCCACCACAGCCTGCAACAGCAAACAAGGGGAGGTGCAGAGGGTGGTCATCGCAGCATAGGCAGAGCATTTGGGTAGAGTCTAAGCTGTTGCTTACTGCCCCCTAAGAGAGCTCATGTTGATTGTTCTCCAGATCACTTAGACCTCCTTCATTGTATTTAAAAACAAATTTGACTTTTCCAGGGAGGAGAAAAAGAAGAGAAATATAGAACATTTTAAGGCATATTTTGGAAGGGCATAAGTCTAAGTCAAAGAAATAGCATAAAAACAACAACCAAGACTATTTCATGTGTTGGGATGTGTCTATCCCTTCACTCTAAATGACAGGTTGAAAGAGAGATGGCATGGCAACTGGATGCTCAGAAAAGGCATGCAGAGCCCAAGGTGTGCTCTGTTCATAAGAGCCTGCAATGAAGAAATCTGAAATAGCATATATTCATTCCTAAGAGGTTAGCGTTAGACAGTCACACGATCAAGTGTGAGAGGTCAGCTCCTTCTGTGGCTCAAATGCCTCACTCTCAGCTTCTACACATTTGTAGTTAGTTGTGAGATTAGTAAAGCTCATACTTGCCCAAATTTGTGTTATTTTTCTTCACTAAGCATGAAGATATTTGGGCCATTCCCTGCTCTGTCTCCAGCTGTTAACAGCCCATAGTCCTTTGTTAGAGCCAGCATTCAAAATGTAATCACCATAAAATATAATAATGTCCCATTACAACTAATAGGGTATTGTTTTTACATGGAGTACATCCAGGGAGGACCAGCTCTTCCCACCTCGCAGTGATGCTTCCCTGTGCATGTTTATTAGTTTTCTGACTCTAAAATTACAGTAAGCTTGTATATTTTCATGATATCTCTACGGTTACAGATGAACACACTCCACCAACATATTTCCAAGATTAGGCACAATTTTGGTTATTCTATAAAGATTTGTTTATTTGTTTTTGCCTCAAATTAGCCCATTTATAAGACAAATTCTTTTCTGTGCCAAAAAATCTTTATGCATTCAGACCTCTGGATATAGGTCATGAATTAAATGCCGGATGTGGGTAGCAACTGCTCTATTTCACTCTTTATTAAAGAGATCATGTAACTGATCTTTAAACAAGACACAGGGGAGGGAACTGAACCACATTCTCTATATTTTAGGAAAATAAGGGATAAAAGAGCAGAAGAACATATATTAGGGGCTTATTCTCCAAAGTAGTAGTTAACCAAAAGAATAAAACAAATCCTCTTTTCTCATTGAAGGCCACAAGAGAGGATGTGTTCTGTTCTGTTGACGCAATCTGGCAAAGAAAGTGTCACAGAAATACTCTTTCTAGTTACTGAGCACAAACCTGTGACCCTGTCCACGCATAAGTACTTGTTTACTGCTCTCTGTAGATGGGAGGAGAACTTTGTTTGAAGAGAAGCTACTTTATTTCCTACCATTAGGCATTGTGTAGCCGGGCAAAGACAAAACAAAGTCAGGAAAAGTTTTGTGTGCCTGTTCCACTGAAGTGGCTGTGCTGGATAACGTACTGTTACAAAATAAATCTCAATTCTCTGTTTTATTTTCAGAGGGTCATTTTAGACAAAGCTCATGGAAATGTTGATTTGTATTTTTTTACTATTTTTCTTAATTTGTGCTTGTATGTGTATGCCTGCTTGTCTGTGTGTGCACTACACTCACACAGTGCCTACAGAGGTCTGAAGGGGGCATTGTAGGCTGCCATGTAAGTGCTGCGAACCAAGCCCAGGTCTTTTGAAAGAGCAGCTAATGCTTTCAGCCACAGAGTCATCTCTACAGACCCCAATGGTTTACATTTCAAGAAAAATAACTATTTTTCTATGTATCTAATTGATCACTTTTTGCCATTAATGTCTCTGAATCTTCAAGTTGGTGACATATGATAAATCATAACAACAACTCATTATGTGAATTACACAAAAAAAAAGAAAGAAAATTCCAAATAGTATTAGCATAGTTACTCACTGGTGACTCTGTAGGAAATCTTGAACCCAAAGTCTGTGACGTATGCATTAGAATAGAAGTTGAGTGACACTGGGCCATCCACAGTGAGGGGACGCAAGGTCTCAGAACCACATATGGTTGCAAGAGGCGTGGAAGAGAGGCTGTGACCTTTGAAGATGTGCAAGCCATCATGATCACAGTTTCCAGTGATGTCTGAGCGATCTACACAGAGAACAAAATGGCCAACATCAGAGCAGAAATGGTGTAGACAAGTGATGCTATAAACAGACAAAATACTACAATTCTGTTGTTCACGTAGAAATTACAAACAAAATTAGGAGATGGTTTTCTATATCAATATGTAACTTCAATTCCGGATGAAATGATATTATCCACGAGACAAAACATGGACAGAAAAGAGAAAACAGACAAAACTCCATAATGGGAATGGAGCTTTGTCACCAGCACTGCTTGTGAGAGAAACCTTATACAGAGCCTGGGTACAGATAAGAGTGACCATGAGGAGAACATGAGCAATTTCTTGATGTTTCCTGACAGGCATCTCCAATGTTTATGCAAACATCCATTAGTGATTGCTAATTTGCATCAACATGTCTTCTAATTTAAAGCAAAGATGTACTCTGCCTTCCCTCCTGCAAGACAACATAAAGCAGCTTTCAAAGGCATCAAGAAGACTTTTGTTGCTGCCATGTACTTGTTTTTTGTTTTTTTGTAGAGTGTCTACTCTCAGACTATCATGGGAGCACAATCATTGCAACCTGATACTCGTTAACGTAAAACAGTATCTTCTGTAAGTAGGTAGTCTTCCACAGAGTTTGACCAATGTAAACATTAAGTAGTAATGTAAAAGTAACCACCCATGTTCAATCAAAGCCCCATGGCCAATAAATTCCCTCAACATTCTTGTGACTAAACATATTATAAAAAACATCTTTGCACATAAGTATTTGAATAGTTTCTTATTTATCAGAATAAATTTTAGTATTTGAGTTACTAGAACTGAGGCAAGACTGTTCTCCAGGTTTCTCCAAAAGCTCTTTGACAAAGTGTCCCCAGCTGACACTCCCACAGCACATTAGGAATTTGGTAAGTCTTTCCAATTCCACATTCTGGCCACCCTATGGAGATACCTATGTCCACTGGCAATCAAGCCCAAACTCTTTGCTCTTTGTACTGTGGTCCTGGCACCTGAGACTATTTTCTGTGTATATGATTTCTTCCTTCCTCCTGGACATTTCTAAAAAATGGAATCATGGAATATGCAATGCTTTGTGTTTGGATTGTTTTATTTAATCACCCACATTGACTTTAGTTAGCAAAAAAAAAAATGTTTAAGATTGTTAAAGCTAAAGTCACACGATGCTGGGAAACATTACCAATATTGGATTTGTTTCTTGTTCTTACATTAGGCCAGTGTGCCTGCTGTGCATGTATCCTTGCAGATTTGAAGGTGAAAAAGTATCTTGATGTAATTACAGATTAATTGTAGTTTATAAATAGATGATTTATGAGAAAGGATAGGTTAAAAAAACACATCTATTTGAAGAGATTTTGTTTCTTGTCTTCACTAAACATCTAGGGTGTATTATCAGCCACAGCCTGACTTAAACTAACAACCGCACTTTCATCCACCAACAGCCCTTTCCCTGAAGTTGGGAAATGAGCAGACAAGAAGTGTGTGTCCTTGGGAACTTTGCCACCGAGGAATCTGAACTAGGGAGATGACAATCACAGAACACTGAGGAAAGGCTATCCCATGGCACTGTTTCATGAAAGCAAAGCCGATCCTGATCTCACCTATCCACTCACCCATTCAATATTGATTGGGTGCCCATTCTGGTAGGATTGCTTCTCTCACTGGAGAGGTGTGCATGTTTACATGCATGTGTGTTGAGTCTAAATGCAAAGGAATAAATTAAAAGTTCTGACCCTGAAGTGATGGCCTGATGGCAGAGGTCCTAAATCCCAGCATGCTTGCGGCCAAGCAAGTTCATAGAGCAAGTTCATGGCCAACTTGAGTAGTTTAGCCAGATATTATCTCAAAACAAAAAATGAAAATAGGCCTGGTGACATAGCTCAGTGGCGGATCACTTGCCAAAACTTGACATAAATCCTGCAGTCCAATCAATAGCATGTGCTTGAAAAATAAGATGCTATGTTAAAATGTTAAAAGGCTCCAGATGCATTTAGGAATTTTATGTGGCACCCATGTCATTAAAGTTATTTCTTCAGTTTTGGATGGAATATATAAGACTGTACTTTTCTTTTTAAAGACCAGAAGGAAGCCAGGCCTATTACCTCAGCTTCTCTGCAGATTGAGGCAGGAGTTATAGGCCTGCTTGAATCACATAGAAAATTCAAGTCCAGTTTGGGGAGTTTAGGGAGACCCTGTTTCACAATGAAAAGTAATGGGTGTGGTTTACAGCTTGGTGTGGAAGGCTTGCTATTCATGCATTAGGGCCCAAAGTTCAGTCTTCATTATGCAGATAAAAGGGTGTAATTTTTGGGAGGGAGGGTGGATTGGGAGGAGGGAGGGAGCTATAGGGGAGATACAAAGTGAATAAATTGTAATTTATAAAAATAAAAAATTAAAACAAAAAAGGACATAATTTTATTTGCATTTACATTACATTTCAGAACATGTTTATTATTGTCTTAAGTAGTAATATTAGACCATCCTACCCACATCTTTCTTATTAATAGCTTAATTATTAGTAATTTGCTTGTGATAAACTTAATCCTTGAATATTATTAAAAGACAAGAGATGAGTAATGGTGACTATGTTGGTAATTAAACTGGTGCAGTCATTATGGAAAAGCTATCCCTCGTACAGTTAAAAACAAATACTATGATCCAGCAACTCCACTCCTGGGCATATACCCAAAAGAAGTGAAGTCAGTGTGAAGGCTGATCTATATGCATCCATGTTTGTTGCAGCATTATTAATAAAATCAACTCAGGGGTCCTTTGCCTGATGAATAAAGAGAATGACACACATAGACAGACAAACGAAAACAATAGAACACTATTCTGTCTTTACAAATAAGGAAATACTGTAGTTTATGATGACATGGATAAATTTTAGGGCATTGTGTTACATGAAAGAAACCATACACAGGAAAAATGAATAGCACACATTCTCATTTCTCTGTGAAATATGAAACCACTGAACTTTTAAAGTAGAGTAGAACACTGGTTACTATAGGCAAGGATTGGGAGGTGTTTGTCAAGAATCTCAATACTTAACCTTATTTTTAAAAAACATAAATTCAGAAAGCATTCTACATAACATGGGGATTATAACTAATAATGATGCATTATCTATTTGAATATTGCTAAAAGAACAGATTCTAAATGTTCTCACAATTAAAACATTGTACGTTAATAGATACTTTAACTAGCTTGACACAGCCATGCTGTAAACTATCCCTGTGTCAAAGCCTTTATCAAAGCCCTATGTCAACACTGTAGATATATACTTTTCATCAGTTCGAATGAATTGATTTTTAAAAAAGAATAAATGTACCTTCCAAATGGAAGGACACAACAGTCAGGATGATCAGAGACTGAGGTGCCACATTTATGAAGTAGGTACAGTTCATGTTGTTGTCATAGTGCTTTGGAAAGTTTGGCGAGACAATAACACCTGTAGGGCTGCTGAAACTACGTCCACATCCTACATGAGAATAAAAAAACAAAACAAAAACATCATTAGGATATCCATTATTATCTGTAGCATGCATTTCATAAAAAGAAAGACACAAGACTGCCATTTTATGAAGTCTCTACAGGAAATTTCTTGAGATGCTCCAAATGGAAAAAGATCACCATGAGAAGGACTCTTTGATATATAAGTCAATATGCATGTAAAATAAAAATGTATTTTAGAATAGCATGGGGAATTTTAGATGCTAAGTAGTAGGTATTTTGTAACATAACACCCTTCAAATCTCATGATATTTAAAGAAGTTATATTATCAAAGATTGAATATAACTCATGTCAAGAAACAAAACAGATGAAAGTGACTTGCAGGCCTGCGAGATCACTCAGTCTCTACAGTTCTCACCTCTCAAGCACAAAAAAAGCTAGGCTTGGTGATCCACCCTTGGGATGCCGGATGTAGGGAGAACCCTGGGGACAGTCTAGTCTACGTAGTCTACACAGGCCAAGTTGAGACTCTCCATCAAACAAAACAAAACAAAACAAAAAAGTGAACAACACCCAAGGAATACCTGAGCTTGTCCTCTGGCCTCCGTATGCACTCACTTAGACACATACATTCCTATACACACAGACAAGCACACACACACCCATGCACACACAAAGTGATTCATCTCTGAATATTACATCGTATTTGAAAAGTATTACATATTAATCACCTAAAGAGTTTATAAGTGTTTTCTAAATGTATTATTAGAAAACTGTTACTTCCTTACTTTCATCTAATCATAAAACGCTAATTGCTTTTAAAAGCTAGTTTACTATACTCGTCATGATATCTATCAAATTCTTATATGAATTCCTACTGTCAGTCATACAGATACATAAGACAGGGACAGAGGTACACACCAGTACCCCAGCTATTCTGGAAGCAGAGTCAGGAGCGTAAATCCAAGGCAAGCCTGAGCTGCCTACACAGGAGGTTTAGGGCTAGCTTAGGCAACTTATACACTGTGCCAACACTTACACGTGTCAAGGAATGGGCTGAGAATGTACCTCTATGGCAGTATTTTCTGATATATGTAAAGCCTTAGGTTCAACCACAGTATTGCAGAGATAGAAAAAAAAATACTAAAACCTTTGCATTAGCAAAGTGACATTTTGTTCTCATATACTTCTAATTTATGTCCTCTCTGACCTGTAAATTATGACAATGTATGTATCCTTTTACACTGAGTAAAAGTAAAATCTCTCTCTCTCTCACTCTCACACACACTTGTATGCACAGGTCAGCTGAACACCTAGGCTAGCTCTCAAATTGCCCATCGTTACTCCTTTTCCACCATCTTTGTTCTTTTATTCAAGTCTGAAATGTCTGGTTAGTGCATTCTCCCCTCCATTTCTTTCCCCCAAGCTTTTTCTTGAATGGTGCTTTACAAATAGCAGCCACCGATGTGATTCAACCAAGGCACAGGCCACAACACATCTGCAGTTCCCACTGACCTAATCTGTGCTCAGCACTCAGAGTGGAGCCTTGCATACTCAGCTGACCCGCTCTTGAGCTTGGTAGTGTTGTATTTTTCCCCCACACTGGTTTCAAACTCTGGCTCTTCCTGCCTTTGCCATCTTTGGATATAGGCCTGCATCTCACTGACTGTTGCAGGAAGGAAGCTCCTTCAGAATCAGGTGGCTCGCCAATGGTCCTTTCTGGGAACCCTATCAAGCCAATCTTGATGGGGCTTTCTCACTACTTGCCAAGCCTATCTGGGACACCCACCCTTCCTCAACAGTTTAGATTCCAATGCTACTTACGGCTTAGGAAGGATGCAGAGAAGCCCTGGGCTGGCATCTCCATAGACTGGAAGACAGCAGTGAATATGTTTCCTGATGTGACAAAGGGTCTGGGAGCCACATCCCCACAGCCTGTGGCTAACAGGGTATTGTTGGCCTCCAAGGTTCCTTCCCAGACCTGATGGGGTAAAAAACATGACTTAATGCTAACAGTTTGCTCCTGTCAGTATTTTAACATACTTAAGCTTGAAAATAATTGTATTCAATTCTATAGAAAAAAACAAACAAACAGTAGACCAGAAAAAGTCCACATGCAAATCCTGGAATATTTTCTTTGGGGAATAATTTGGTTTTGGTTTTGGTTTTTCCACACATGGTTTCTCTGTGTAGCCTTACCTGTCCTAGACTTGCTTTGTAGAGCAGACTGGCCTCAAACTCACAGAGATCTGCCTGCCTCTGCCTCCCTGATTACAGGTGTGTGCCACCATGCCTGGCTGAGAATACTTTTAAGACTGGTTTTTAAGTGGCCTATCTCATTCTGATTGCTCTAAGGAGACCCTGTTTGGTTTTACAGAGCAATTCCCTTCTGTGTGTTTTTAAATTTCCTTTGAGGCTTCTTATTTGACCTGTGGGTTATTTTAAAGTACTTAATGTTAAGTATATTTAAATATTTAGAGTTTGAAGAGCTCTTCCTTGACAAAATCCTCTCTGAATTTTTAGGCTTACAATGACAGCTACAAATATTTTACCCGTCAAGCCCTGTGTGCACCTTCCTCATGTAACTTTTCCACAACCAACAAGGTCCAGTCTCTGACGTGAGCTGCTGTAAGGGACTCCTCCCTGATGGCCAAGTACCCTCCCACACAGATGCACTCCTAGCTCAGGCACTTTCTCCAGGAGGTCTCTTTTCAGCAGCCCCCAGCTGGATCTCTCGGTGAGCATAAGGGAGAAGGCTGAAAAGGTTTTTCTCCACTCTAACTCAGCATTCTGCCCGCATTTGGGGCTCAAGCAGCTGTGAATCAGTCCTTCCTCTACACTGACCACCTGACCTTCACCAGGTGCTTATGAAAAAGTGAGATGGGAAGAGCCCCACTTTCACCCTTTGCACTTCTTGATAATGCCATTTCAGGAAGCAATCAGAACTTTCTACCTTCATTCTGGCTGGTGGTTTTAGCTGACTTCTCCCTCTGGTGTGTGCTCTTTTTCTGCAGCTTGAGCATCAGAGAAAACACTCTGCAGTTTAGTTCTTTGGTTTGTTGAGTTTTCTCTTTTTTACTCTCAGTATGTGGTCTGTCCTGGTGTGTTACAAAGACATGTGAATCCTTGTTTCCTTTTCACCTGTCAGTCTTATTTTAATGCTTCACATTTGCATCCTGACGAATTTTCTAGCTGGATGCCTGGTAGTTACTGGGAGCATTGAAATCTTCACCCAATTGAGAAGCTATCTTCATAGATCTATCTAGTTTTCTTTCTCATGTTTCCTGAATCTATCTTATTATAAATGAACATTTAGACTCATTTCATCTTCCTGGTAGGCTGATTGTTTTATTCTCATGTAAGATTCTCCTTTTCTACTGCATGTTTTTTTTTTTCAGCTTTGAATTCCATTTTAGCAGGTGCTAATATGGCCATTACTGCTCTTTAAAAATTAATATTTCCATGATTTATCATTTTATATCCTTTCCTTTCAATCCACCTGTATGATTAGATTTGAATTGAGCTTGTTTCCAGTTGTATCATGTTTTGGCTCCAATAATCTATTTTAATTAGTGTAACTAAGTTATTTAAAACACATACACATTGTGTCTCCACTTTTGCATTCTGTTTTCTTCTCCTCCTTGACCTATTGTGCCCCTTTTTTTCCTATTTCCTAGATATCCCGATTTTTATTAAAATTAAGTGTTTTCATAGGTCTTCATATTCTTTGTGATAGTTATTAATGTTGTGGATGTTAAAATATACATATATGATTATCTAGGTTTACACCAACAATCACACTGGACCATTTTGAGGGATTGTGGAAAACAACCTGCACTGAATTTCCCTTTCAACTTCTCACTGTCAGGTACCATTATAAGCCTTTTGTTTAAATTACTAAATACAGTGTTAAAAACTTACAGAGAAAGGTATGTTCTAACTGGATGCACACATATCTGCTCATTTCTTGATCCCTCCCTCCTCTTCCTCCTCATACTCCAAGGTTCCTTTCCAAACCATTCCATCGAGTTTGAATAAGTTCCCTTACAGTCTTTAATGGCAAATAACATGTGTATATTTTCTTTTGACTTCCTTCTGTATGGAATTTTAAAATTCCCATTAACCGTACATTAAGAGTAATTTTCACGATTGTAAATTTATTGTTAGCAATTCTTCTACTTCAGAACTTTGTTTCTCTGACTATTATCAGTTAAATTGTTTTCTTTCCTTGTAAAGCTGAAATGACATGACTGTTGGATACTTTGCTATTGTTCGTGGGTCCCTAAGGCTTTGTTCTTGTTTGTTTTGTTTGTGTCGATTTTCTCTTCATTGTTCCAAGAGGTGACTTCTCTTGTTCTAGCCTCAAATTTACTGATTCTATTCTCTGTCATTTCCACTTAACTACTGAGATTAAGCAGTACATTATTTCTATTGCATTTTTTGTTCTATAATTTGCATTTAGTTCCTTGTTGTAGCTACTGTTTCTTTGTTAAGATTTCCTATTACTTATTTGGTCATGACAATGCTTTAAAAAGAACTTGTCACTTATTCCTGAGAATTTTTATGACAGCAGCATTGATGTCCTTGTCATGTATGTCCATCATCTGTTTCATTCCAGGGTTGACATGACGATTATTTTCCTCACTCAAGTTGTAATGGTCTTTGTTTTTCTTATGATGAGTTCTTCCTTGTTGTGACCTAAACATGTTACCTATTATGTTAGGAGGATGTCAGTGCTATTTCAGTGTTTTATTTAAGAAGAGAGTCATCATGTTTATGTTCAGCATACAGTTTTGCATGTATGCCTAGGCTCTGTTTGGTGATTTGATTTTCTGAAGATCTGCAGTATAATTTTTGTCAACATGGTTTTAATGGTACTTCTGCCATGTTACTAGTATTTTCTTCCTTTTATTTCTAGAGACAGTGTCTCATGTGGATTAGGCTGGCCTCAAACTTCTTATGTAACCAAGAATGAGTTTGACACTCTGATCCTCCTGCCTCTACCTCTTGAATGCTAGGGTTATAAGTATGTAAGACCATGCCTATTTTAAGTTAATGTTCTCAAGGATATAGAGTGTGTTTCACCTGCTTTGATTTCTGTGCATTCTTCCACCAAAGGGGAGGGGCTGAATAGGATTTCCCTAGGGTCTTTGGGAGGAGGCATATTTCCGATTTTGAGAATAAAAAAGGTTTTTGGAGCATTAACCATTCTGTCCACTTTCCCTAGTGTCCCTACAAAGAAAAGTATCCTTGACTCAAAATCACCAAGTACCTTCCCACTCCAGGTAGTTCACTGTCACTGAGTCCCTTTATTCATTACTTTCATCTATACAGAAGCATCCTTTCGCAGAAACAAGAGTATCATAATGCAGTTATCATAGTCTTGTCTCACACTCAGTGAAAAAGAGTGTTTCTTCTGTTACTTATTTTTTGCAATATTATCAATTGATCTCTTTCTAGGCTGGCACTGGGCTTGTATGACATTGTCAGTGGGTCTTTTATTCTAGCCAGAGGAAGAATAATCCCAGATTAACTCTTTCCCATCAAAAAACTTATAAGACTTCATATAAGTTTATATACTTTGTGTTGACTCATCTTAGGAAAAGAGAGATCTTTTATTTCATGGGAAAATGCAATTAAGAGAAGCATTTATTAAATCCATTTTATTATGTGCATATTTTGTAAATATTTGAGAGATGATATGAAATAACATTGGTTTTTAAAACAGGACATTTCCATTCACTGGGTGATTTTTAAAATCCAAAGTACTAGGTAGTATTTACGCTATTATGTCATATTAATTCTAATGCTTAAAAAAACTCTACTGAGGGGGGAGCCAAGATGGCGGCGCCGGGAGAGCACTGTGTCTGAGAAGCGGGACAGCACTCTCCGTGCAGCGACCAGGAGACTGAACTCTGGGCCCTAAAACTACAGCAATCATGTTTCCCAGGTGAGGGGAGGCTCCCACAGCATGGGAATCAGTCGGGTCCACTCTTGGGCTGCCCAGTCAGAACCCGGAAGAGATCCCGGGTAACGCAAGCTTTGGGTCTCGGGCCAGAGCCGCACACCTGCGTGTCCTGATCAATTTCCCAGGCTGATCAGTGGGCACAAGGGTGCCTGAGACTGAGAGTCCCAGTCGCAAAAAAACCCCACGGGGAAGGAAAGTTGTGAGACTGATCACGGGTCACCCAATCTTTCCCTGGAAGGTCTCACAGACCATGGGTACCCACCGCCTTCACAATTGAGCTCCCGCCACATGGAGAGCTGCGGGCCCAGTTCACTGGTACAGACGAGCTGCGCGCCCCAGTGCAACAGAGACTGGGAACCCCTGTCCGGAGAGGACCCCACAGGGAAGGAAGAAACCGTGCTGCCGGGGTCACCTAGGCTTTGCCTGGGGAAAGTCTCACAGACTACAGATCTCAAACAGGCGAGTACGCCCAGCCATCACGGATCCGGGCCCAGGCAGGGAGCACAGAGTTATTGGGAAACCAGCTCCCGCAGACTAGGAGGTGGGCGCACACGCCGCCAGCCCAGAGACTTGCTTTGTACCAACTACTCCTTACAGACAGAACTGTGTGCCCCAAGACACCAGAGTCTTAGAGTCACTGTCTGGAGAAACCCTCACAAGGAACAAGGAACGAAGCAAAGGGGACAGACTTAGGCAACCCAGTATATCCCCGGAAAAGGTCCCACAGACTGGCCCAACCCAGGGAACTACTGTGCCCCAGATAGCCTGCTGTTACCAGGAGAGCAGTACTCACCCACCACAGATTATCTCTTGGGTTTTGGGGCACAGAGCCCAAACCTCAGACCTACAAAAGACCTGGAACCCTGAGATCAACCCCTAGATACTGCTCCAAGGGGCAACCAATTATCCCTAAAAAAACAGACCAAACCACGGGACACACAGGTTACAGCAGCTGATCACTAAATTTACAGCAAGAAACCCAGAAGGAGGGCAGTTGTCTCCAGGACTTTTCC